GGGTTTAGGGTGCCTGGTAGATCCTGAGGTGCCGGAGGGGCCTTTAGATGGGTTTGAGGGCGTGCTTTTGACGGGTTTGAAAGTGGTTAATTAGTGCACGGTGGATCCTCAAGCCCCGTCGTTTGTTTGCAGGGGTTCTTCGGGTTTAGGGTTTAGGGTCGTCAGGTGCCGAAGGGGCCTCGACAGGGTTCTAGAAGGACTGCCCTGAAGCAGACTATAAGCTTATTAGGTACCCCATGGAAGCCTATTCTTGTAACCAGTGTGAAGCCCGGAAAGCTGGAACATGGGTTTAGGAGGATTAATGCTAGAATCCCTTCTATTTGACCTTTAGGGTTTAGGATTCAGGGTTAAGGGCATGAGGATAATGATGTTCCAACTTTCTGGCCTCTACAGTAAGGCCCGGTTACTTGGGATTCCTGAGGCGGTGAGTGGAACACTCTACGGCCCGAAGAACGCCGGCCTCACGGGCCCAGCAGTTGCCAACCCGATCCAAGCCTACGAGACGGATCCCAAAGCTATCGAGACAGGAATGTGACGGAGTTCAGGGATTAGGTTTTAGGGTTTCAAGAGCTTTGCAAGGGTTCTATGACTTCTGAAAGTTATGTATAGAACTGACATGGATGGCTCCAAGGCTATCGAGATGCTGTGGAGGACAAGCGAGGAGGCCACTGGCGTGAAGTTCGACGTCTGAAATGTTCGCCCATGTCTGAAAATGTGATTCATGAGAATGTGATTTTCTCAGTTCGTTGTGCAGAAATCTTGCACATGCACGGAGTATCTTTGCACCTAACATGGTGCTGCACTGAACCACCTTCCGCAAATTCACGAGCTGTTGGCGCCGGCTGACGGGCAAAAAGGAACAGACACTGGAACCCAGACCTCGATGCGTAGTATTAGGGCCTTAGCAACTAGAATAGGGTTTCGGGGCCCACGATACTATAATGATAAGGAACCCCCAAAATAGTATGAGTAATTAAATAGGCCCCTGTATTAGCACTGCTTACCGCGAAGCAGGGCGCAAAGATTCAATCGAGCCCTGGTGCCTAGTTCTCCGGTCTTTCGGAACGTTAGGGTAACATAGGGCCCGAGACAATTACCCACAGTATTCGGCAGGGCTTCTACCAAAATATATGACTCTCGATGTGTAATTACACCCCCGAACCGTATTCTAAGTACTTAGGCCCCTCTACTCTCCTGCAGTATGAAGCCCAAACTCCGAACCACAAGCCTGAAGTTCGAACCTCGTTTGCTTCTCTCTAGCTGGCTCTTTACTCCAAATCTTGCCTCTGAGCACCTAAGTCTGGGTAGCCATGGCAGCATCGTTGCAACCACCTGTAGCCGAAGGGCCCTTGAAAAAAAGCAGCGCAGGAGCTTGGGGCACCTCTGAGGAGTCATGTAAGGCTGGGCCGGGTATACGATGTCATGTCGCTGCCTGCACTGTGCATGTGGGCAGTTCTCTAAATTAGGGTCCCCATTTAGATCCC